GACAGAAATTTCGCCTTGCAACAGGTCACCTACGGACCCCTCAAAGAGTTGTTGCAAGGGTTCTTAACGTGCAAAGAGCGTGGCACTCTCTTTACACGAGGCATCGGATTTAACGTCCCCATTCTGACCGGACGTGGCTGCAAATTTGTACATCCCGCACAGCCAAACGGACGCCCCACTTTAGCACGGGTTTTACTGCCGGTCGGAGGAAGACCAATGGTGACCATACTTCTATTCCCCAGTCACCCTTGGGGTAACGTGCTTGTTGAAGTATTTTTCTTAGGTTCGGCCGTTTTTGGTATTCGGGTGCTCCATTACCCGTTAAACCGGATCTGTGCCCTATATTCACTATAAAGGTTTTGTTTCCAATCCTATTAGCTTTCTTAGGATATATAGGATATACCCATAATTAGGGGATTCAACGGTTCAAAAATCGATCGTAACGTGCTTGTTGAAGTATTTTTTCGGTTAGGCCGTTTTTTGTATTCGGGTGCTCCATTACCCGTTAAACCGGATCTGTGCCCTATATTCACTATATAGGTTGTGTTCCCCATTCTATTAGCTTTCTTAAGATATATAGGATATACCCGTAATTAGGGGATTCAAGGGTTCAAAAATCGATCGTAACGTGCTTGTTAAGTATTTTTTCTTAGGTTCAGCCGTTTTTGGTATTCGGATGCTCCATTACCCGTTAAACCGGAGCTGTGCCCTATATTCACTATATAGGTTTTGTTCCCAATTCTATTAGCTTTCTTAGGATATAGAGGATATACCCATAATTAGGGGATTCAAGGGTTCAACAATCGATCGTAACGTGCTTGTTAAAATATTTTTTCGGTTCGGCCGTTTTTGGTATTCGGGTGCTCCATTACCCTTTAAACCGGATCTGTGCCCTATATTCACTATATAGGTTGTGTTCCCTATTCTATTAGCTTTCTTAAGATATATAGGATATACCCGTAATTAGGGGATTCAAGGGTTCAAAAATCGATCGTAACGTGCTTGTTGAAGTATTTTTTCTTAGGTTCAGCCGTTTTTGGTATTCGGGTGCTCCATTACCCGCTAAACCGGATCTGTGCCCTATATTCACTATATAGGTTTTGTTTCCAATTCTGTTAGCTTTCTTAGGATATATAGGATATACCCGTAATTAGGAGATTCAACGGTTCAAAAATCGATCGTAACGTGCTTGTTGAAGTATTTTTTCGGTTCGGCCGTTTTTGGTATTCGGGTGCTCCATTACCCGTTAAACCGGATCTGTGCCCTATATTCACTATATAGGTTTTGTTCCCAATTCTATTAGCTTTCTTAGGATATATAGGATGTACCCGTAATTAGGGGATTCAAGGGTTCAAAAATCGATCGTAACGTGCTTGTTGAAATATTTTTCTTAGGTTCGGCCGTTTTTGGTATTCGGGGGCTCCATTACCACCTAAACCGGATCTGTGCCCTATATTCACTATATAGGTTGTGTTCCCAATTCTATTAGCTTTCTTAAGATATATAGGATGTACCCGTAATTAGGATATTCAAGGGTTCAAAAATCGATCGTAACGTGCTTGTTGAAGTATTTTTTCGGTTCGGCCGTTTTTGGTATTCGGGTGCTCCATTACCCATTAAACCGGATCTGTGCCCTATATTCACTACATAGGTTTTGTTCCCAATTCTATTAGCTTTCTTAGGATATATAGGATATACCCGTAATTAGGGGATTCAAGGGTTCAAAAATCGATCGTAACGTGCTTGTTGAAGTATTTTTCTTAGGTTCGGCCGTTTTTGGTATTCGGGGCTCCATTACCACTTAAACCGGATCTGTGCCCTATATTCACTATATAGGTTGTGTTCCCCATTCTATCAGCTTTCTTAAGATATATAGGATATACCCGTAATTAGGGGATTCAAGTGTTCAAAAATCGATCGTAACGTGCTTGTTAAGTATTTTTTCTTAGGTTCAGCCGTTTTTGGTTTTCGAATGCTCCATTACCCGTTAAACCGGAGCTGTGCCCTATATTCACTATATAGGTTTTGTTCCCAATTCTATTAGCTTTCTTAGGATATAGAGGATATACCCGTAATTAGGGGATTCAAGGGTTCAAAAATCGATCGTAACGTGCTTGTTGAAGTATTTTTTCGGTTCGGCCGTTTTTGGTATTCGGGTGCTCCATTACCCGTTAAACCAGATTTGTGCCCTATATTCACTATATAGGTTTTGTTCCCCATTCTATTAGCTTTCTTAGGATATATAGGATGTACTTGTAATTAGGGGATTCAAGGGTTCAAAAAACGATCGTAACGTGCTTGTTGAAGTATTTTTTCTTAGGTTCGGCCGTTTTGGGTATTCGGGGGCTTTATTACCACTTTAACCGGATCTGTGCCCTATATTCACTATATAGGTTGTGTTCCCCATTCTATTAGCTTTCTTAAGATATATAGGATATACCCGTAATTAGGGGATTCAAGGGTTCAAAAATCGATCGTAACGTGCTTGTTGAAGTATTTTTTCGGTTCGGCCGTTTTTGGTATTCGGGTGCTCCATTACCCATTAAACCGGATCTGTGCCCTATATTTACTACATAGGTTTTGTTCCCAATTCTATTAGCTTTCTTAGGATATATAGGATATACCCGTAATTAGGGGATTCAAGGGTTCAAAAATCGATCGTAACGTGCTTGTTGAAGTATTTTTCTTAGGTTCGGCCGTTTTTGGTATTCGGGGACTCCATTACCACTTAAACCGGATCTGTGCCCTATATTCACTATATAGGTTGTGTTCCCCATTCTATCAGCTTTCTTAAGATATATAGGATATACCCGTAATTAGGGGATTCAAGGGTTCAAAAATCGATCGTAACGTGCTTGTTAAGTATTTTTTCTTAGGTTCAGCCGTTTTTGGTATTCGTATGCTCCATTACCCGTTAAACCGGATCTGTGCCCTATATTCACTATATAGGTTTTGTTCCCAATTCTATTAGCTTTCTTAGGATATAGAGGATATACCCGTAATTAGGGGATTCAAGGGTTCAAAAATCGATCGTAACGTGCTTGTTGAAGTATTTTTTCGGTTCGGCCGTTTTTGGTATTCGGGTGCTCCATTACCCGTTAAACCGGATCTGTGCCCTATATTCACTATATAGGTTTTGTTCCCAATTCTATTAGCTTTCTTAGGATATAGAGGATATACCCGTAATTAGGGGATTCAAGGGTTCAAAAATCGATCGTTACGTGCTTATTGAAGTATTTTTTCGGTTCGGCCGTTTTTGGTATTCGGGTGCTCCATTACCCGTTAAACCGGATCTGTGCCCTATATTCACTATAAAGGTTTTGTTCCCCATTCAATTAGCTTTCTTAGGATATATAGGATATACCCGTAATTAGGGGATTCAAGGGTTCAAAAATCGATCGTAACGTGCTTGTTGAAGTATTTTTCTTAGGTTCGGCCGTTTTTGGTATTCGGGGTCTTTATTACCACTTTAACCGGATCTGTGCCCTATATTCACTATATAGGTTGTGTTCCCCATTCTATTAGCTTTCTTAGGATATAAAGAATATACCCGTAATTAGGGGATTCAAGGGTTCAAAAATCGATCGTAACGTGCTTGTTGAAGTATTTTTCTTAGGTTCGGCCGTTTTTGGTATTCGGGGGCTTTATTACCACTTTAACCGGATCTGTGCCCTATATTCACTATATAGGTTGTGTTCCCCATTCTATTAGCTTTCTTAGGATATATAGGATATACCCGTAATTAGGGGATTCAAGGGTTCAAAAATCGATCGTAACGTGCTTGTTGAAGTATTTTTTCTTAAGTAATGTTAATCTACGGATCAAGTGCAATTTTACGTCAAAAATAAATTATTCTAGGTAAAAGGGGCAGGGCTAACAAATAGCCTATCTCTTTAAACCATAATACTATATAATACTAGGCCTCAACGTTTTAAGCTGATAGAATTTTAATCGAATTCTAAAAATTATTACACAAAAAAGATCAACTTATCGATCCTTTAAATAAATTTATTCTAAAAGGTAAAAAATTCAACATTGTCAATAGATCTTTGAATATTTTTTTTTGTGTATTAATATTGATTTTGTTATCAGTAAATTAAAAGCAAACTGAATATTATTGTTATATACATATAGATGATTTGACTGTCCCTCTGGTATCTGTCGCCCCTCTTGTATGGATCTTCAATCTGTTAATTCCTGTATCCTGGCATTGCACAATGTCATGTTTTTCTCTGACTGTTTATGACGTCTTAACACTAAATCCATGTTTCATGTGTACTGATTGATAATCAGTTAAGTCTTCGATGCATGATTTTCTTATTAGTTGTTATTGGCTTTAAACTAACTGTCAGTAACTGCAAGTACTCTCAGTAGTGTCTTTTTGTTGTTGAGATGTACAAATACTCGGCCGCGTTCACTCTATGTTTTTGTTATATGTATTTCTAATTGTATCCATCTGATGAGTTAAGCCTTTTTCAACTGATTTTTATAGTTCGTTCTTATGTTGTACTGTTACACCACTGTCCCAGGTTAGGGGGGATCCCGCTAACATGTTTAACCCCGCCACATTCTGTATGTATGTGCCTGTCCCAAGTCAGGAGCCTGTAATTCAGTGGTTGTCGTTTTTATCTGTGTTACATATTTGTTTTTCGTTAATTTTTTTTGTACATTAATTAGGCCGTTAGTATTCTAGTTTGAATTAATTTTACATTTGTGATTTCGGGGCCTTTAAGTGCTGCACTATGAGGTATGGGCTTTGCTCATTGTTTAAGGCCGTACGGTGACCTATATCTGTTAATTTCTGTATCATTTGGTCTCATGTGGAGAGTTGTCTCATTGGCAATCATACCGCATTTTCTTTTTTATATATACAAGTAGATATCAAAGTTATTCAATTTGAATAAACTTGAATAGTGAATAGTACATAAAAAAACAGTTCACTATTCATGAATTTTGAATAGTGAAAAGTGAAAAGTGAATAGTGAACGTAGCCCGGTTAGTATAACTATATTGTAGATTAACATTACTAATTTGGTAACGTTTTACCTTTCAGCTATTTGCAGACGTTGTCGGAACAAACTGCTACCATCACAGCAGACAGATATTACAGATGAAATACAGATACTAGATGTAAATTTAGATATTTATTTTCAAAGTTAATTGCGATAGAATAAAACACCCACACACAAAAGTTAATATTGAGCTACCCGGACTCCACTAAGAACTAGGAGTGAGTCTAATGACTGCATACATATCGTATGAATAAGATTGATTGGTTGATTGATTGGTGTTTAACGCCACTTTCAACACTATTGTGCTATTTCGTGGCGGTCAATTTTTATTGGTGGAGGAAGCCGGAGAAAACCACCAACCATCGGTAGGAAAACTGACAATCCTAGTCAACTAAGATTGGAGTCGAATGCACCTGCCCCGTGCGGGATTCGAACTCACAATATCAGTGTTGACTGGCTATTGATACAGTACTTTGTCTACTTAGACCACTCGGCCACCGAGGCCCCTGTATGAATAAGAAAACAATTGTCTTTATAAAAACAAGGAGATGAGGTATGATTTCCAATGAGACAACTATCCACCAAAGTTCAAATAAAGTAGATGCAAGCATTTATAGGCAACCGTACGGCCTTCAACAATGAGAAAAACCCATACCGTATAATCGGCTATAAAAGCCCCCGACATAAAAATATGAAACAATTCAATTTTGAAAACTAACGGCCTAATTTATAACAAAACAATTTACGAAAAATAAATCTGACAGACATGAACAAACGACAACCACTAAACTACAGGCTCCTGACTCGGGACAGGCACATTAAGAATGTGGCGGAGTTAAACATGTTTGTGAGAGCTCAACCTTCCCCCTAACCTGAGACAGTGGTGTAACAGCACAACATAAAAACAAATTATAAAAATCAGTTGAAAAAGGCTTAACTCATTAGATCGATACAAAGCAGAAAAAACATCAAACATAAACACAGACCGGACGTGGCAGGGTATATTTATCCATCCATCATCCCTAACAACAAAAAGGACTCTAAGTACCGATCTGAGAGTACTCGCAGTTACTGATAGCTAGTTCAAAGTCAATAACAACTAATGAAAAACAAACCTTAAACCAGGACTAAAATATCAATCAGTACACATCCAACATACAATGGATTTAGTGTAAAGACGTCATTAACAGTCAGAGAAAAACATGACCTTGTTTCATGCCAAAATAAAGGTATCGACATTATTTATACCAGTAAAAGCAATATTCAAAGATCTAATTACAGTGTTGAATTGGTAACCTTTTAGAATGAGTTTATTTAACGGATTGATAAGTTTACCCGTATACTGTTTTCCTGATTTTGGAGTTGGCACAGTGTTGTTTTGTCTATTGCTGCCTCTGCTTTAATTTTTCATGCATGCAAAAGTTTTCTGCAAGAAATAACATATTAATATTTATGAAAATTAAACTTAGATGAGTAATTGTTTTGGCAACTCTTTTTCAACAATGTGAAAGCCTCCGGATGTTAGAAAAGCTAAAACAACCGCACAATATTCCATTGTTATAAAAACAGGGAGTAGTAAAATTGGTAAAATACAAAGAAAGATAAATTTGAATAAGCCTAAACGTCTGTAGTCGAATGACTTAATACATCCGAATACATATAAAAATGCCATCACACCGCCAGTGAAACCAGACAAATAGGATACAGTTTGTGGTATTGGTAACGGGATAAGCGGAACAAGGACCATGTTTGGTATTGAAAGCAAAATGGTAAAGTAACTAAGCACTATGAAGAATATTCCAAGTTTATATCTCATAGGAATAGTCTTGCAAAATAATGTCTTCAAGTGTCCCTGAATCCAACGTTTTCTTTGTAGAACAAAGTCTTTTGGTGAAAAGGGACTCTTCTCCCACATTTCTCCCTCGATGAATCCACATGTATAACCTCTCATCCAGGCTTTCAATGCAAAGAAACAATCTTCCGTTAAACTACCATCAACACCAAAATCAAAGGTAACGTTTAGTTCAACTGATGCTTTCACAACTAAGAAACTCCCCTTGGTCCCCAATATTGGCCTATGTAAACATTTAAAGCAGAATCGGTATCTTCCATAGTCAGTTCCGATGCGTACTAAATCTGCTAGGGTAGTTATCCAGCACACAATTTCTTCTTTTGTATAGATGATTACTCCCTGACCAAATGAATATATATCATCATGAATGAAATTAGCTATCCCTATTACAGATGATTCGGTTAATACTGTCTCCTCATCCAGATGAACTATCCAGTCATTGTCCGATAGTATATTAACTTCATCTTCTAATGCGAATTGTAAGGCTCTTGCTTTGTAGAGGCTACCATTTGTAGTGGAATATGTGGATGGAACGACTACTTCACGGATACAACTATTATTTGGTAAGCCTATTGGAGAATCGGTTACAATTTCAAACTGATAATGATGCAATCCTACCTCTAAGCATGTTTTGATATTTTTGTCAACAGTTCGATTCACAAGATGTGGATATTTACCTTTTGTCACAACTCTGAAACAGATGGACGGTAAAGACATTGGGGATGTTTTAAGTTTGGGCTTTGATGGATGTGTGTTGAACATGACTATTCCTAAAAAGTTGCATATAACAATCGGCAAATGTATCAATGTTATGTATCTCATTATATATAAAATAATTGTCGGCCATTTTCCATAAGCTTTATAAGGATCAAAACTGTAGTTGGTAGAACTAAATCCTCCTGTCAAGAAACAAACAATCGTCAAAATTATTAGGAAGAGGAAGATGGTAAGGCAATGTTTGATGTTGATGCTCTCTCCAGAAAGCTTAGCCATAGTCTTCAGTTTTTAAATCTGAAATCAAAAGAACATATGAATGAATTTGGATAGACCTTCCAATAACAAATTGTATATAATTTTTCTCAGATGTCCGTGTTTGGTGTATATTTGGCATTTTTTCTATTGGCTCACAAAAAGAACTCTTCAATATGTTAAATGTTGAATTATGCACCAACAGTGTTATGCGTTTGTGTTTTGCGTTTGGTAGACATATTTTGGAGAGAGTTGGAACGAGGAAAAATGTGAGATTTTCTTTCATCAGTTTAATGAGTTCAAGTAATGTTTGTCGGAGAAAGCGACTTAACTCGGCCCAAACTGAGTACGTTTGTAAATGTCTAAAGCTAAATTCAATTTTGATAATTTCCAGAAAAAAATATATTTGATTTCCCTTGGAAACTTGCAGGTTTGGCGCATTGGAAAACAATGCATATATAAATATAATTTATAATAGCGATATCGTTAATATTTTTTTCCATAACGTTTAACTACCAGCTTTATTTTTCATATTCATAAGTACGGCTATAAAAAACCTAGATTGTTTTTGATATAATAATAACATAAAAATATAAAGCTGATGAGGATTTATCAAATACTAAAACGAATGAAACAAAACATCCTGAACGTAAAAAACAAGGAATAGATCGCAGCCATTCATCAGCTAAACAAATAGGTTTCTAGTACATGTAAAGTTATGATATAAAAATCTACATTCAATAATCCGTAGCCCATGTGAATAGCCCTTTATCAGTAGTTGTTTGGATATCCAGTAGTTTAGCAACAGTGGTGAAAATCTGTGTTTTGAATACATGTCAAAACAAAAAAGTATTTGCAGGTTATATTAGTTGAAAATTGGAATTGATAAATACATTGCAGGGGTGTGGAAGTATTCTTGTCGCGAATATTTCGACGCCTCTGCATTGTATATCACTTACAACTCCTTACTTAAACTGTAATAATATACGGAAGCCGATAAGGGCCATTCAAAAAAAAAAAAAATATGTCGTAATTCCGACATAGCATGTCGTAATTTTGACATAACATGTCGTTATAACGACATCGCTATGTCGTAATTTCGACATACGTGTCGTTATAACGACATCGCTATGTCGTAATAACGACATCGCTATATATATATATATAAGAATATGTATTATGATTGCCAAGAGACTTAATGACACAGAAATTAACAACTATAGGTCATCATAATGCCCTCAATAATGAGAAAAGCCCCCGCAGTCAGCTATAAAAGAGGGACGAAAGATACCAGAGGGAGAGTCCCCGACATGACAGCTGTTTAATAATTTAATTCAAACGCGTGAAAATAACGGTTTTAATAATGAACAAACAAAGACCGAAAAACGAATATGTAACACAGCAACAAATGACAACCACTGAATTACAGACTCCTGACCGCTATGTGATAATAACGGCAACCTTATAGTTTAACTTTTCACTTTTTGATGCGATAGGCATTTCAAAATGGTTGTCAGTAAAGGCAAAGTTTGTAGCGGAAACAAATTCATCTTTTTTTTTTTAGAATAATGAACACTAAATGCAATCAAGCTTAATTAAAGTTATTCACTTGCACCTCAGACTTGCACATACTAGAACTTTATTTATAATCAAGTCAAATGAGACCCAGTTGAATAGGGGAGCAATTCAAGCTCCTTGGAGCCTCTTATTATGTTTGGCATGTACAGATTTGTGTAAATTATGAAGTCCTGCATTTCCATTGCAGGTTCTGAATAAGATGAATTTTAAGCTTTTCCCAATAAAGACTATGTTAAACTTTGGACTCATAGTGCACAGACCCACGGATCTCTGTACCTTCATTTGTACACACTTGAATCTTAATGTACAGAAACTACTGAGGCTTGATGCAAATTATTACTGCATTGCTATTGTTGGTTCTTTATGTGATTCTTCAAGCGTCCTCCACATTGAAGCCCTATTAAAACTTTGTACCCCAAGTTCTTTTAACCACTGTTCCCCAGGGCAACTATTCCTACAAACTTAAGGGGAGGGTTAGGATCCCGCTAACATGTTTAACTCCGCCACATTCTTTATGTATGTGTATGTCCCAAGTCTTTAATTTACAAATTTGTTTTTCGTTTATTTTTGTAGGCCGCTTGTTTTTCTCGTTTGAATTGTATTACATTTTTCATTTCGGGGCCTTTTATAGCTGACTATGGGGTATGGGCTGTGATCATTGTTGAAGGCCGTACGGTGACCTATAATTGTTAATTTCTGTGTCATTTAGTTTCTTGTGGAGAGTTGCGTTTTTGAACAAACCAGCGTATCCCAAAGCCTTGATAACCTCTGTAGGCCCCAAATAAGACGAAAAAACATCAAAATTGGAGAGAAAACTGAAAATAAATGGTTTCTAACCTCAGGGATATTAACTCTTTGCATGCTGAATTGTTATCAGAAATTGTCTAAATTTCGAGTATTTGTAAAAATATGCAAATGATATGCAAATGAGCTGTACCCTGATGCTGATGCATACTGATTGCATTAAATCTAAGATAGCCAAGGGTTAATATCCCTGAGGTTAGAAACCATTTTTTTCAGTTTTCTCTCCAATTTTGAAGTTTTTTTCGTTTTAATTGGGGCCTACAGAGGTTATCAAGGCCTTGGGATACGCTGGTTTGTTCAAAAACGAAACTCTCAACAAGATAGTTGTCCCGGGGAACAGTGGTTAAAAGAAATTGGGGTACAAAGTTTTAATAGGGCTTCAATGGGGAGGACGCTTGAAGAATCTCATTAAGAACCAACAATAGCAATGCAGTTATAATTTGCATCAAGACTCAGTAGTACATTACGATACAAGTGTGTAAAAATGAAGGTACAGAGATCAGTGGGTCTGAGCACTATGAGTCAAAAGTTAAACATAGTCTTTATTGGGAAAAGCTTAAAATTCATCTTATTCAGAACCTGCAATGCCAAACATAATTAGAGGCTCCAGAGATCTTGAATTGCTCCCCTATTCAACTGAGTCTCATTTGACTTGATTATAAATAACGTTCTAGTATGTGCAAGTCTGAGGTGCTAGTGAATAACTTTAATTAAGCTTGATTGCATAAACTGTTCAATATTCTCAGAAAAAAAATTAATTTGTTTACGATACAAACTTTGCCTTTACTGGCGACCATTTTGAAATTCCTATCACTTCAAAAAGTGAAAAGTTAAACTATAAGGTTGTCGTTATTATCAGATAGCGGTCAGGAGTCTGTAATTCAGTGGTTGTCATTTGTTGCTGTGTTACATATTCGTGTTTCGGTCTTTGTTTGTACATTATTAAAACCGTTATTTTCACTCGTTTGAATTAAATTGTTAAACAGCTGTCATTTCGGGGACTCTCCCTCTGGTATCTTTCGTCCCTCTTTTATAGCTGACTATGCGGGGGCTTTTCTCATTATTGAGGGCATTATGATGACCTATAGTTGTTAATTTCTGTGTCATTAAGTCTCTTGGCAATCATAATATATATTCTTATATATATATATATATATATATATATATATATATATATATATATATAGAGCGATGTCGTTATTACGACATAGCTATGTCGTAATTACGACATAGTGATGTCGTAATAACGACATGTTATGTCGTAATTACGACATGGCGATGTCGTTATAACGACATGTTATGTCGAAATTACGACATAGCGATGTCGTTATAACGACATGTTATGTCGAAATTACGACATGCTATGTCGTAATTACGACATTTTTATTTTTTTTAATGGCCCTTATCGGCTTCCGTACCTAACTGATACAAAAGTTAACAGAGAAATTTTTAGTTCAGTTCTATTTAATGTACATGTAAATTACGTGGACATGTTGTTTACTGATGTGAACAATTTTCATGTACAGGTAATTAAAACCGATGTATAGATAAGAATAAATTTAATGTGAAACCAGTGTTCACTACATGAAACTAATTGTAAACAGGTTTACAGTACACAGCGTTTGGTGTGCACACGGCCTTGGATGGAGAGTTGTCTCATTGGCACTCATACCACATCTTCTTATTTATATTAACCCATTATCGACCTGTACTGGACCTATTTTTCAATCTGAACCATACTCGGCCAAAGGTCTGAACCAAACTCGACCAAAGTCTGAACAATACTTGACCGGTCTGAACCATACTTGACCAAATAACCTCTACTTTTTGTAATTTTAACTATTTATATAACTATCTTTTTAACTGACTTGACAACAGTCACAATGAAGTAAAGATATGTATATACAGTGTCTACTCTCCTCAGTGCAAATGACTTTTTAATGAACGGAACAGTAAAAAAGCTGCATAATTTCAAATGTTTTGTAGCAGTTCAGTGTTTCTGTTGTTCCGTTGTTTTTCCCTTATAGTTGATGTGTTCCCTCGGTTTTGCTTTGTGACCCGGATTTGTTCTCGCTTATTCGACTTATGACTATTGAAAAGCGGTATACTACTGTTGCCTTTATTTACTATTGTAGAATAAAGGATGACGAGGAAAACATTTGTGTTTGTTTACGCTTTAAAAATACAAAATAATTGATTTGAATGTATGTATAAACACAATTTCCTTAGAATATAACTTTACTATGTACTCATACTTGTCAACTGACCCGTATTCTGCGGGTAATACTCGTATTACGGGTATTCTGCGGGTAATACACGTATTATGGGTATTCTACGGGTATTCTACGGGTAATACCCGTAAATTTCCCCCTCACCCAGGATTTTTGAGATAGCCGCCGGGTCGTTAAATAACCCGGGAATTAGGAAAATGACCCGGATTCTTGAGCCTTCTTACTTTTTGAGTATGAAACGGTAGATTTATAAAAATACAATACTTAATTTGACGAAAAATACTTAAACGTTCTATCTACCAACTTCGCTTCGATACGCAGCAACGTCTGGCATCAACTGTATAGGCGGTTATACCCGTGTAACAATAAACTGTTCCAAATATGTCATTGTAGTTTAAAAATGACGTATTTGTAACAACAATAAGCATG